GACGTGACGTGGCTTAGCCATTTGGGGAGTGGCCCCTCCTACACACATTTCTCATTATGTAGCGGTATTTAGCCAATTCATCGGCGCGTCATGCGACGCACCATCTCCGAACCTTTGACAGGTGTCGCACCTGTGTTGAACCTACTCTTTAGGCAGCTTGACTTGCGATGACGCGCAACCGCCATAGCGCTCCAACGCTATAGACGGGAACGACCGGCGACGACCGCCTTTGTTTTGAGAGTTCAGGATAATGAGAGAGTAGCAAGTTATCTGATACCCTCCCATTCTCCCGTACTATCCGAAAACAGCGGTCATCGCCGATCGATACCCGTCTATGGCGTTGACGCGCGCCGTCGCAAAGTCTGAACGCTGCCTTAGCGACCATGATTAGATTGTCGATTGTGATTCGTCATTTTCAGACAGCAGCAATAATGAAAAGGGTGAGAGTCAAGGGTAAGTTCTCATCGAGGTAGCTGAAAACATCATTTTTGTGAGCAGTCACCCATGATTCAGGGACTTTAAATCCATGATTCATGATTCAGGAACTTCAAAGTAAAGAAGAAAACTATGCTGAGACGGCGTAGGAGTAAAGAATGCCAGAGAAGGAAGAAAACAAAGTTAATATCCGGAAGAACGGTCACTTCCCGAGAATCGTTAGTATTGCCGCTCTAGATAATCTGCATAGGGACAAACTGTCACTTCATGGATCCTGGTGCTTGCCATGTAAGAATGGGTGCACTGCTGCATAGCGTGGCACTTTCACCGCTTTGAAGGGCCTAGGAACAGGGTCGGCGAGTAGTGATACCTAGGTGGAATCTCCCGACTACGCCGTTGTCATCCTCGAGGTGCAGCCTGTGCGCGGATATAAACGTCCCGCAGCAAACACACAGTCAGTCGTAGAGGAGAACGAGAACTGAGACGGCGCAGACTAGCAGCGCGCTTGGCTATGCTTAGGCGTGCGCTAGGCCGTACGGCAGCGTAAACGAAGTAAGGAGACCGCACCAGGGTGTCCTTACCCTCCACGAGGAGAAAATCCGGGAAATGCCCTATGTGGGCATCGGTCTAAAGAACAGTTGAGTGGCATGTGTTGGAGGAAGTAGAACTCTAGATGAAAACCTAGCTGCGGTCGGATTTTTTCGTGCTTTCTCATAACGCCAACTGAAAAGATTCCATTGAGTCACGGCACAGTCATCTGGAATGCTCGTCGCCTTTCAGGCTGCGTGCAGATTTCGCGATGACGCGCGTCGGCGTGCTACCGTTGCAACAGCGCTCCAGTGCTACAGACGAGAATCCAGCCATAGGCAGGTATCAATCGGGGCCGGCCCGCTTGCCTTTTAAGAGAGCATAGGATAATAGGAGGATACTCGTTGCCTAATCACACAGTCTGCTACCCTCCTATTCTTCTATACTGTCCCAAAACACTAGCGGCTGGCGCCGATCGATACCAGATCGCGAAGTTGAACGCTGCCTTGCGGCGCTTTTTACATATCTTTCTACCCCACGTCTGCTTGCTACATCCGGGAAGCATTTGCTTATCGACAGGGCGTTACATGCATTACTGGCGGACCTGCAGTGGACCCCTGACTCATAAAAACACCAGTGGGTTGGTATGGTATAGTAATTGATAGATTGTTTTTCAGTGAGGAGCCGACTTATATGCATGGAGAAAAGTAGGTTAATTCAAGCCGATTGGGTGCTTCCAGCTACCACAGGGTTCTTCTGAAAGTTGTGCCCTCTCTTTCACTATTCTGACTTAACTGATATGATTATCAACTACCTCTTCTATGGTGTGGTGGTACATCCTTCAGAAGGATCCAGCCTGGCTTTTCTCCTACAGTTACCGTATCCAATCTAATATCAACGCATTTCTAGCAATACTGAACGGAGGTCTGACACTGAAAGTGTTCCCAGCGCTCCTAAAAGGGTAGTCAAACCAGAAAAGAAGCAGCAGGTGAGTGCTTCAGTTTCGATGGTAAGGCATGAGCGGCTCCATATGTACTCCATATCCCGCACACGGAGTGGGCGCGGCTTCCTTATCCATTTGAGGGTGGCGTAAGCTCACATTTTTCGTGGGTGCTTCCTTTTGAGACAACTGTTACGGTGCGTTCATGCTTTGCGGCAGCATACGCCGGTGTACGGCTTTCAGCGTCATGCGGTTTCGACTGAAAAAAAACCTGAAGTTGACTAAAAAGTATAGATATTGATCTGGCGTTTGCTAGCGTTTCACTGGAGTTCATCAGCTCTCACCAGGGTCTTGAGGACTATGGAAGAAGTTTGGGATATCGATCTAGCGTTTGTCACCAGCGAGCGGGAATAAAGCGTATAGGGAAGTAGGAGGGTAGCAAACAGCTGGATTAGGCGTCGTGAAATTGCGGCGTGTGCAACCGCACCGTACAACTACACTGCACCGTACACTCAACTGCATGAATCTGTGCTTCAGCATTTGTGCAGGTGCGTTCCTTACATGCTGCAATTCCACGACGTCTAATCTAGTTGTTTGCTACCCTCCTACTTCCCCATACTCTCTACTCCCGGTCGCTGGTGAACGCTGGTAGACGCTGGTAGACGCTGGCAGACGCTAGATCGATATCTATACTTTCCTAGTCGCTGACGCTGCCGGACGCTCGAAATGCTGGTGGACGTTGGTACGCTGCCGCAAAGTATGAACGCAGCCTTACAGTTCTAGAGACGGCAAGGGCAATTGTTGCCAGTGCCAATAAGCGCACTCACTGCTATGTTCGAATGAAGTACGCGACGACGCCCACTCCATTTGCATGATATGGGGTGTTCTTATAGGGCCACACACCTTAGCGACGCATAAACTGAACCATAATGATTCTTTCTTCTTTCTGAACTCTTTATGCCTCTTTATGCAAGAGAGAGGTGAAAAAATAAGTCAGTGAATTGAAGCTGCCCCCCCCCTCGTCGTACTTAATGATGCGGTGTGAGACATAATGTGCAAAGTGAGGTGGCGGTGACCAGGGTTGCAGACAGCAAAAGTTCCTTTGAAGGTCTTTTTCAAAGCAGGTGGGGTATGGCCAAACGCCCATTGACTGCGAGTGGGCGCTTGGCCATCGCAGTCAATGGGCGTTTGGCCATACCCCAACTGCTTTGAAAAACACACCCAACCCTTCCACCAATCACGTTTTCGACATCGGCCCGTCCACAGCGATCACCCCCTTTTCCTATGAAGGTGCCACATCATCAGTAACAAAAAGTATATCAAATACTATTGATGGATGCATATAAACTCGAGGGCAGAGGGAAGTGATGCCACTTTTGCCGATGGAATCTCATTACAGGTGCAGGTATTCGTTGAAACAACGTTCAGAAAAGGAGTGCAAGGTCTTATTGAAGAATTTCGCTCGATGAAACGCACTAACGACTTCACTTTAATGAAGGAATTCGTAGCACAAAACGCCTACGGGCGGAACAGATACAAGGTATGGCCTTCAAGATGGTTTTATTTCAGCCCCTTTTCTGTAGTATGGACCTATACAGAGTGTTATGCCAACAAATATGGAATGGCTTATTAATTGGAAGGGTTCGAGTATAGACTCCCTCCTAAACACACAAAAGAGCGGTTACATGGCAGCTAAAACTTTTGGTGTGGATCCTGGCATGGAAGGATAGAGCACAGAATTGCGACTACCGTAGCATCGAGGGGTGTAAAAGCAGTCGCAAGCCTGCTGATGAGCTTTTTTAGATTAAGGGGACTCCAGGAAGAAGGGCTGGACGAGCTACTTATTAGGGTTCCTTCCAGAAAATAAGTTATAAATAACCAATTGGATCGCCCGGCTGACGCCTAGCTCTCCTCATTTTCTTTAGTTTCGCCAGGCGCACTCCAACTCTAGAAAAGTTAACAGGTCACCGTAGCCACAGAATTCTATGCAGGCGTGAGAGCGCAGAGAAAAACAGAAGGTTGACTTGGTTAAAGGGATTGAGTACTAGTTGTACGCATACCCACAGATATATTCCCACTGATGAACTGTATAATTTGAGGATGTTGGATGTTTGGACAACAGGAGAGTTGTCATCAGAATCGGAAACGTCCCGTATATTCACGCCAACTACGTCGCTACACCGAATCATCCGAAGCGATTTATCTGCACACAAGTACGGCTGTAACAGTGCTGTGAAACTTAGGGTAATGCCGTTTGGCCGCGCTCACTTTTGGCTGCTGGCTCATTTATGAAGTGCCTAGATCACCAGATCCGCTGAAAACTTGTATACAGGGTAATTTAACATCCTGATTACGAATATGACATTCATTCTTGGCGCTGGCGCTAATGGAGGACACTACGATTATCTGCGCTCTGCTAAGGCTGAGCCTAGAAGATAATCGTAGTGTCCTTTATTAGCGCCAGCTCCATGAATGAAGTATGGATGTCATATTCGTAATAAGGATGTTGAATAATTCCTGTATACAAGCTTCAGCGGGTTTGGTGATCTAGGCACTTCATAAGTGAGCCAGCACCCAAAAGTGAGCCCGTCTAAACAGCATTAGCCTGAAAGTTAGCAGGCTGTAAATATGAGTGTTAAGGCGCCATTGCCAAAGACTTGCTTATGAATTCTGGAACATGGTCGTACAAGAGAGAAGTGCCTCTATACTAATGCTGTGCAATTTCGTTGAGATGGTAGGTCAAAATGTGATTCAATTTTGGCGCAGTTCGGAGACGGGAGGGGGTGCATTTCGCACTTTCTCTGCTTCACTAGTTCACAGGTCTCATTGTGGTGGAACCTGCGAACTCTTGTCAGTTCCAGAGCAATGTCTCAACAATGGTAGAACCTATTATCCCTTATAAGC